CAAATTTTGCATGAAAACAAATACCAGTATTCCAGATTACCTAGTTCGCTCTAGTCCTACAAGAACATCGAAATATATTTCTGTGTGGTTTTCCCATTGCCATTTTCTTCTGACTCTGGACCGGATTAAACTTTATTGTAAAGTTCACCATCAAAGTTCAAGTAGGTATTTTATACACCATTTGACGGCTGGCAAAAGAAACATCCTGGACAAGTGTGTGTCGATATACACATAATTCACACATTTCATCCTTAACAGAATGTATTGTATAGATACAAAGTTGCTGTTAGGCTTAACGCTATCCCTAACGAAACGTTCATTAGAGGAATTTCTGCTATCGTTTTGTGTTGAGTATACGATTGATCGAAATTGTTTATATATAAGCCTATAGAGTTGGAAACAAATTCAATTTTTTAAGTAATTATTGATGATAATACTGTATATAGACACGAATTAAATGTTTTTATCAATGATTGTAAATATAAAAAAGTGACTTACCCAACCTCCTTGGATATTAATCCATTCCAAAAAATTCGTCTTCACGTATTTGTCTACATTCTGTATTACTTGATCAATCAAATCAGTTCTATTTCTATCTTTACATAAAACAGCTAACCTCGCTCCAAACACAAAAACCATAATTATACGGCCCCAGTTCATGATATTATCGCTAAACATTTCTGTTAAAATGTCTTTGAAAAACGTCTGGATATTCTCATTTGAATCAAGCAAAACTTCTCTAGTTAATTTATAAAGATATTCATTGTGCATTTCATACATCTTTTCGCAATATTTAAAAAAATTACTGTTCACATGCTCTATATATTTCATGTCATTGCCTAGTTTATATGCCACAAACGCGGAATTTATTTCTCGTGCAATTCGTTCAGTTTCCATCATCATGTTTTTTTTCCACCTAAAAACAAAATTATGTTTTAACTTTGAACACGATCTTCGTGGATAGGTATTCGTAAAGTAAACACTAAATTGTATGTAGTTGAAACTAATTTTGTGTTCTTAGCCTTTATTTCTAATGATGTCTTACATTTATTTTCACTCCAGTATTGTACTGGCCCGACAATAAAAGACAATATTGAAATCCAGTCGTATAACCGTGTTCACTTTTCATTCGTTGAACATTTATTGGTAACTGCAAAAACAACAAGCAATAGATGCTAATAAGACATAACCCAAAATTAGTACAAGATGTATAACATGCAGTACTAAATATATCAAGGATATATGCATGTACCCTATCTTTCTTACATAAACTGTGCTGTCCTCTCAAGACGTATCCAAGATTACTGGCTATATCCAAGATCACTGGCTATCCAGCTGCAAATAATTCAATAATCAAAGTCATGGATGGTACAGAAATTATCTCTAAAATATAATCACACAGCTGGGTGATGCAACAATTTCCAAGAGGATACAAAATAGCCATTACCCTTTATAAACATTATAAAAACAAAGCTAGGCTAACACAACCTGAAAGTTTACAGCCTTAGGTCAAAGGTCACATCTTTGCTCACACAGCGTGCGGACTCCTACATACACGTTCATGCATAGTGTATCAAAAACTAAGCTAGATATGCTCATATAGAATCGTGCCATAATAAGCACAAATATCAATAATCAATACTAAGCTACAGTGCAGCATTATCTCTAGCACATAAACATATAGACAATTAGTTTTCATAAAACCTATGCAAGTTTTAAACTAACAATTTAACGATATTTACCTCAGAACATAAGGTACCATAACTACCGTTTTAACTAGTTGAACTGAAAGCGCCCCAAAGAGGGCTCACTTCCAAAAACTCATTAAACAACAATGTTAAAGACATTACACTCCTCGCCTGATCACCCAAACAATAAAGAATGCAAATTATGAATCAAGGCATAATATACTCTAATCAGTTAAATCATAGGAATTAAAAAAAAAACACATATTATCATCCACATAAGTATTTTAACAATTTCACCTACTGAAATTATTTTCGCATTATCAAAAGGTTCTTCAAGTTTCAGATTCTAACAATAACACAAGTTCATTAATTGGTCTTGTATATGTGTTCTTTGAGGACGGAAAACGAACTTCTACTTTTCGCACTCTTCCATCGTCGCTTGGATAAACTTGTGTGATAAAGCCAGTCGGCTACTGGTTTCTCTTTGCCTGGTTATCTCGAAGCAGGACTACATCGGAAACCTGGAAATTCCTTTGGTCAGTACACCACTTTTGCTTTTGTTGGAGAATTTGTAAGTAATGATTCTTCCACTTCTTCCAAAACCTATCCGATAAACATTGTACCATTTTCCAATAGGCTCGATACATATTGCTGGTGTCTTTGTCGACAACCATCTCTTCGACACAACCACTCTTCTGGGTCAACAACATAGACGGGCTTAACACTGTCGCATCTTGTGGGTCCGATGATAATGGTACTAGTGGACGTGAATTTTGATAATGAAGATTTCAGCTTGCTTATATTTTTCTACGGATTTATGCTGTGTGCACGCATGCCACCCAGAGCATGGTGGTATTTGCCCTTCTGTTCTAAAGGATGATGCTTGATGTTTCAAGTATGCAGCAGCTTGTGTCAAGCCTGACCATGATGAAAAGCGTTTAAGTTTCTCTTCACTCAGCATTCGCGTTTTGCATATTACTGTCTTACTTACAGTTACATTTTCCTTCCTGATTTCCTTATCATTGTCAGGGTCAATGAGAGGAAACGTTGCTTGTTCCTCTTCATTAATTAGATGCAAATGCTGGGGACCAGTAAGCCAAGTGCAATTCTGCATTTTCACAGGATCAATACATCTAGTACCGTGATCCGCAGGATTCTGACCTGTCGATATGTAGTGCCATTGGTGTGGTTCGCAGAATGACAATATCTTTTCAACTCTGTTGGCTACATAAGTATGAAATCTCCTTGTGTTGTTGTTAAGGTAACCCAGAAATATCCTACTGTCTGAATAGAAACTGATACTTTTGGGAGAAAAGTCTAGCTCTGTGGTGACTACTTTGGCTAATTCAGTGGCAAGCACAGCAGAACAGAGTTCGAGACGGGGAATGGTATGACCTTGTCTAGGAGCTATACGTGATTTTCCTATTATAAATCCAACTTCGGTCCCCTTTACACTGTTTGTCTTTAAGAACGCCACTGCTGCAACAGCCTGCTCAGAGGCGTCACAATACACATGTACAGTTGAATCCACTACTTCTCT